AGCTGCCACCCTTGGCTGATGCTCTCTGGCCCTGGCCCTCAATCCCAGTCAGATGCTGCGTTTTTATTAGAAAACTCAGGCTGGGCAGCGAGGTGCTGCCGGGCCTTCTTGACCTCACTTCTCTTCCAACTCTTCTTGACCCCTTCTGGCCTGGCTGCTGCTGGACATGAGGGAGGTTCAGGACACTGTTGTCTGTCTCCTCCTTCTTTCTGTCTCACAGTCCCTGGGGGCAGACTTGAAGTTACTGATTCTGAGAAGTACTGGCACAGGCAGTCCCAGGGAGCCAGGCAGCCCTTCCTGGTGCCTTGTGCTGTGAGACTGGCCATGCAGGGTGTTGGCCAAGTCCTGGGAAAGGCCCCTGCAGCATTGTGCTCTCAGGCACTCAATTGGCTCGCCAACTTAACTGGTTTGGTTTGATTTGTATTTTAACGGAAACCTTTAGAAAAAGAAAACAAATGTGTTTTATTTTCTAGGGCATAAAAATGGGCAGGTATGGCTGCCCAAGCAGTAAAACTGGGCTTCATTAGTCAGTAAGTCTTTCTGCTCTTGTTTTCTTTTTTAAAAGACGTGTTGTTGGTGTTAAGTACCTGTGCATGAAACCTCTGTATAGGGTTTCTGAAGAACCGCTGGTGGGTTTGAACTGCAGACCTTAATAGTCCAGTGCTTACCCTGCAGTGACACACCAGGTTAAAAAGTCTAGCCCTAGAGAAACTGTTGGAAAAGAGATCTTGGGTCCAACTTGTACAGTTAGACAGTGAACAGTGCCTTATTAAATTTACTGTTTGAATTTTGAAAGTTTGGGGAAGTAGATTCCAGAGAATTAAGAAATCTGCCTTAAATTTGGGTGCATGGGCTATTTGGTTTCCTCTGAGCCAGGAGCTCCATTTTGCAGATGAGACAACAGTTAATGGAGACTTGGCCCCTCAGGGTCAGGAGCCTCTCTCCTGCTCCATCCTGGTGAGCTCCTGTTGTCCTTGCTCCCACAAAAGCTAATGACATGACTGAATAGGCCCTTCTTAGTTATGTTTTGAGTCAATAATATGTTTTCATTGTCAGTGCCACGGACTGTGGGTGATAGAGGGGAGATAGAAGCGGATCTTGAAAATGGCCACGTGGCAGTGGTGAAGTAATGCAAAGTGCTCGTGGTGTCAAATCATGCAAACAGACACCCTAACTCAAAGAAAACCTCAGGCTTTATTAAGATGGACTAATTCGTCCAAAGACAGTAGCTCAGGAGGACTTGCAAGTAGAGGGGGAGGCTGGAGGAGGCTTGCAGCCAACAGGACAGTGAGCCCTTTGCGCTGCCCCTCTGCTCTGAGCAGCCCTTGCTTAGTCCCTCTGCGGTTAGATTATTCCTTGCAGATAGCAATCAACTGGAAGGAAGTGTGTGTGTCTAATTTGCATGAGATTATTTAAAACAACAACAAAAAAAAGGTCTGCATTAGTCAGGGTGATGGTAAACAACGCAAAGAGATGCCTTTTATAATATAGCCTGAGCTCAGTTTTCAGAGCCAAATATAATTCACTTACAATTGGCAGTTTCCTTTATTATTCCTTTTAACCTTTTGGATTCTGCAAGGTCTCCACTGGAGACTTTCAAAGATCCTCACTGTTTATCTGGGAAGAGGAATGGGACCAGGGAAACTGGATGTCTGAAAGGTGGATGTTGGCAATAGCTCGCCCCTGAAGCAGGATCATTTCAGCACCAGAAACTGATGGCAGTCTCAAAGATGATTAGTCTTAACTAAAGTGAGGACACTCCAGAGGAAGAGGATGTCCAGGGAAGCATGTAGGTCTGATTTGCAGTTAGAACAAGACCAGGGTAGTCTACTGGTGGTGGTCTGAAAGTTGTCCAGGTACCATTCACTTGATGGTCCACAGGTTATGTTCCTGTGTTGTTGTGATATAGCCCCCAATAGGTTCATTGGATCTTGTCTGTAGGTTGAGGTGCCTGGACTGGTGGTGGGAGAAAAAGGTTTAATACTTTTCAAGCCCTTTCATAAGACTGAAGACTTAGGACATAATTCCTGAATCTGCCGTTTGATGCCTTGTGGGAGATGCAGAGCTTGGGCTGCTATTGGCATTACCAGATTCTGACTAGAATGAATTAGAGCATACATTTTTTACTCTCCTTGGGCCTCAGTTTTTATCTTTTAAAAGAGAGAGAGAGGATAGTTGGGATAATGGTCCAGCTCTGAAATCCTATTATTCACTGCTTAAATTTTTTTTTTTTTTTAAAGAAAAATGATTCATTTTATGTAACTAAATCAAAATCCTGACTCCGCTGGAGAAGAAGGGATATCAGAATTCTAGCCAGTGTAAATTTAGAGCCTCAAATGATAAGGTCTCTGAAAAACAAGAGCATGGAAGGAAGTGCTGATGCCCTTTAAGCCAGGGCTCGGTTGTGGGCTCGGCTGCAATAATGCATGGAACATGTTTTATTAGGAAAATAGGCTCAGTAAAAGCTCAGGGCCAGAGGACAGAGCAGTGGGCAGGGAGGCCTGTCCCTTTAACCAGCTCCAGCTCTCCGGGCCACAGCACAGTCTGTAACTTACTGTATATTTCCCCAGTGTTAAACATTATCGTACTTGTTTATATTTGAAAGAGCCAAAAGGGAAAATGAGAATGCAACTGAATGCTCCTTTTGGGAAAATTATCCTCATTTGCAGCCAGTGGCTGACAAGGCACAAGAAGCACCAGGTTTATAAAATTCCATAGTGTACCAGTGACCATCAGCCTGTGCTGATGTCGCAGATGCCGCCGTCTTCTCTAATGGCCGATTATGAACTGGTTACAATACTGTCTTTCCTACTAGGACTCGGAAAGGGTTTCCCCTTCCTCTTTAGTGGGAATGATTGACAGTCGCTGCAAAAATTGGAGTCTGGGAGACATAAACTCGGGGGAAACTTGCTCTCCAGTTTTGCCTGGCTTGTCTTGGGTCCTGTCCCTATTTTTGGGAGGTGAAGTGACAGGTAAAGCAGTCCCTTTGCAGCCAGCTGGGGTGCTGTTAAGTTGTTAAGTGCCGTTGAGTTGGCTCTGACCCATAGCAACCCTGTACAGGGTTTCCGAGGAGTGGCTGGTGAGCTTGAACCGCCAACCTTGTGGTTCAAACTGACTTTGCAGTCCAGTGCATTAACCCACAGCACCATACCAGGATTTCAGCTAGGGAATTAGGGAGATGAAAAGTTGCCTGTCTAGTCCCAGTATACTCAAATTCGGCTTTTTGTGTCTAGAAGGTGCTAAGTTGTTGTTGTTGTTGTTAAGTGCCGTGGAGTCGGTTCCGACTCATAGTGACCTGCACAGGGTTTCCGAGGCTGTAAATCTTTACGGGAGCAGAACGCCTCATCTTTCTCCCGCAGAACCGCTAGTAGTTTCGAACTGTTGACCTTGCGGTTCACAGCCTGATTCGTAACCACTACGCTACCAGAGCTCCTTAGAAGGTGCTAAGTAAGTGACAGTAAATGATACTGTGAGCCCTGGAATAGTAGCTGTTGGAGAGCCAGGTGATGTAGAAACATCTCAGAGGTGCAGCCTTCATTGTGAGGAGAGGGGTCTGAGGAGAGAGCTGCAGTTTCAAATGGGAACCGATCTCAGCTCCTGCTCAGTGCTGGAAGAGAAACCAGGGCCCAGGGGCATTCTACATAGTTATTCTCTTCTCCCTGTTTACGGTGGGGCCCCAAAAGTCTGAGGGATGGCTGCAGCCACCTCCTGCACCAATATGACACAAAGCCGAGCTGTGCTTTCCAGCATTAATGTGTGCCATCTATTAGCCCCTTGGCACAGAGTGGGAGGCTCCATGCTTCTGAAGATGCTGATCCTCAGAACCTCCTTGTACTTCATCCACCCCCAGGGGCAAATATACCATGCTGTGGGCCTCTAATGGAGAGCTGCCGACCAGATGTGGAAAAGCTCTTGACTGGAGTTTAAAAGCTCCATGTTGTGGCTGGACTGGAGATTGGGATTCCCGGAACAGCATGGGCTGGCCACAGTGGTCTTTTGCAGGCTAGAGTGACCCCTTCCCACTCCCGTGTCCAGATTTACTTTCTGGGTTGGCCTTCCAGGGATATTTTCCTCACACTTGTGTGCCCGCTGTACGCCTGTTCTTTGGGTTAGTCGGGTCACCCCAGACTCACCATCTCCAGCCTGCCTCAGATCTGCTGTGTCTGTGTGCCCACTGGGAATGTGGTCTGCATGGGTTTCTCGCTTGCCTTTCATTCCTTCGTGGGCAAATACTCTCCACATGTTCTAGCCTCTGCAGATGGCGCCCTGCGATTTTTTGAGGTCCCACGTGCAGTGTGCCTCAAAGTGTTGGGAGGATGGAAAAAAAAAGAAAGGAAGAAAGAACAACTAGCCAAAGGCAATATAGGCAGCCTCTGATAGGCTAGAGCAATAATCATCTGAAAGTTTGGGCCTGGCCTTGTTTTGATCTGTTTTCTTGTTTTATTTTCTTCTTTACATTCTGTATCCCATTCATACTAATCACAGTCAGTCCTGATTTTTCTTTTTATTTCTGCATTTGTCATAAAATAAAGCAAATTATTCCCGTCTTCGGAAACAATCTAGACTAATTAGTCGTCTCACCCAATAATTAGTTTTTTGTTTCCCTGTCTGTTTTCATGCATTATTGTTAGTTTTTTCCCCTCTTTTTTTTAACACCATTACAGATTAAAATGAGCCACATTTGCAGTTGATGGTATCTGTTTTCAGGGGAAGAATGGAGAATTGCAGTACAGAGCGACTTCAAACGCAGCAATAAACTCAAGGATAAATTAAGGAAATTGAATGAGCCACATTTGGAAGCAGTGTGGAGGCTAATATTCTGTCGCTTAAGGTTAAATTGCAACTGAGAGAGGTTCTGGAGAATCCGAAATCGAGGAGGCAACTTCCCAGGGTGCTAGGCATTCTGTGGCTGAGAGAGGGTCTTTTCTCGATGAACTGTTCTTTGCAGACATGGACAGTGGAGAAAGGTACTCATCTGCAATTATGTCCTCTTCCTCCAGGGCTGACAGATGAAGAGATTGATTTGGCATTCCAGCAGTCGGGCACTGCTGCCGACGAGCCTTCGTCCTTGGGCCCAGCCTCACAGGTGGTTCCTGTCCAGCCCCCTCACCTCCTTCCTCAGCCACATAGTAAGTCACCCGCTTCAACTGCCACTGTAACCTTGATTGGGACTCAAGACTCTGGCCAGAGAGCAATGCTTTATGTCTCCCAAACCCAGCGAACTGGGAGAAATAGGGAGTCTTGGAAGCACTTTGGATTTGTCCGAAAGAATGTGGCGTCACCAAATCCTCTTCTACATAAAGTCTTAAGTATGTGACAAAGTTTTAAGAAGAGATTGTTGTTGTTAAGTCCTATTGATTCGGTTCCAACTCATAGCAACCCTGTATAAGGTTTCTGAGCAACAGCTGTTGGGTTTGAACCGACCTTGTGGTTTGTAGTCCAGTGCTGATCCTACATCGCCACACCAGGAGTCTAGGGACCAAAATAAATGAGTTTCCTTGCATTATTTCAAATATTTTGGTTATATGCCAGAAACAGGAAGAATTTTATTGGTCCTATTTTCTTTTTCTTCTATCCGTGTTGTTTATTGTTAACTGTTCTCCAGTGAGAACATGGGCATCTGATTCATGAGTGCATTCTCTCTCACTCCCTGACATAACTGGTCCCCACTCAACGGTACTTAACAACAACAATTTTACTTGTTAGAGTTAATGTAAGTCAGTTTAGATTGACTTTCCTCTCCCTCCTTCCCCCCTTCTTCTCTCCCTTTTCCCTTCCCTTCTTTCCTTCTGCATCCTGGCTGTAGACAACTCATTGTTGCCCAGTCATTTCAGACTTACAGTAGCCCTGTAGGACAGAGTAGAACTGTCTCATAGGGTTTTCAAGGCTATAAATCTTTATGGAAGCAGACTGTCACATCTTTTTCCCACTGAGCAGGTGATGAGTGTGAACCACAGACCCATGTTTTGGTTAGTAGCTGAGCACATACACTAAGAGTCTGTTAAAGAATTTCTGATTAAAATATAAAGATCCTCTTTGAATGGTGCTTTTAATTATTACTCAGGATGATGGCCTATGAGGGATTTTGTTTTAGTTTTAAGTGAAAACTATTTTAGGAATAAATTTTATTCATGCTAGTAATAAATGTAAACCTTCAACACTTCTTTTTTTCATTTTAAAGCTTTTATTGTGAATTGATTGATAGTTTACATGGGAGAACATTGGTTTTACACTTAACCTATCGTATTTTGTTTCATTGCAATGATTACAATCCCCTGCATGCATTATCAGTTAACATTATTTGCTTATATTCCCTGATTTGTTTGTTTTTTAATGTACACAGAAACACTCAGAAATATATAATCATTTAAACAACCAAAGGGCACATTCTATAAGCCTGCCTCCTGACGCCAGCACACAGCCTTTCTCTTTCCCTGAGTCTAGAGTCCTTTAGCTGCTCTAACTCTCCATGCCATCATTTCTGCCTCTATTTCTGGTGTCGCTGCTGCTCTGGTTAGGGTCCCATATTCCACTCATGCTCTTTTCCCTTGATGGTCCTAGGATCCTCTGTTCCTGAAATGTAAGATTAACTACTTCCCCCTTTATGCTACAAAATGTCTACCTTTACAGTTGTGACAATTGCAGTTAGTCATGATAACAGTTAACTCACTATTGAATCAGAACTGTCCTATCCCTATCTCCTTTCACCAGACCCATCTAGACAAGATGAAAACTATTCAGTGGGGATTCTACTCTCCACTCCTCCCGTCGCCCCCTGCATGCACATTCTGAAACTAAACTCCGTCTTGAAAATGTGTAAGCCAGTCACTTCGTGCCTTTATAGCCCCCCATTTTAGGTAGCCAATGTCTTAAGTTGCCTGTCCCATCAGCCCTATATACCGAGGGGACATGTTTTATCCTTGATGTGAAGACTCCTTTCCTCTCGGTTGGTATTTTGAGCTACTACATCCATAAGTATAGGCCAAGTTCATCAAATTGTAGCAATTTACACTTGCTTCCTTTGACGAATTTCTTTATGTTCCTGTAGTCAAGCTCTTGTCATCAAGCCATCGAAGCTAGGTCAGATGGGTACTGTCTACAAGTTTGGACTTTCTTGTGTGTTTTCCCCTGCTTAATATCAGCCAAAGCTTTTTGAATCACTTATGAGAAGTCTAAAAAGAAGAGAATATGAACTCCAAAGCTATGGGAAAAAGCTGTTTTGTTTTTTTAACCGAATTCATCACTTGATCTATTGTCTTTCAGAATGTCTTTCTCTACACAGCAGTTATGTGCCTTCTAATGATCTAGCTCAGATGTTTTAGTTTTTCAAAAAATGATTCAAAAGAGTGTTAGATTGTTAAAAGACATGTCTTTAAATGACAGGCTCATTTTGATCCCCCAACACTTGGTCTGCAGCTACCTTCTTCCTCTCACTTGGCCATTGTCAGCCACAACTTACATGACAGACAAGCAAACAAGGCCTGCCCTTCTCTATACCCGCCCAGAGTTCAGGCAGTGTGTCAGATGGGCTTTGTGTGTCACAGGTCTCCTTTCTTTGGCTTTCAGAGTACGGCTGGGTGGCTGAGTCCAGGTAGCATACACTCCAGCTGATCTCATGCATCACTACCTTGCTAACAAACCACCTGATGTCATCATAGCCTCTCGAGCCTGAGAAACAGAGTTTCACTGTTGAGCTTTGTATGTGGGCTACTGAGTCAGCAGCTACTTGGTGGTTTGGACTCATTTGTCCTCTCTGGCTAACAAACATTCTCTCCAACACAGTGTTTATAGTGAGTTACTAAACATACTTTATGGGTTTCTTTAACCAAAGGCACTGTTTCTTCCACACTTTTTCTTCAGTTGTGTCCCTGGGCCCAGCTGTTTAATGGGATTTGCTGAGGACAGGCAGTGGCAGCTGGGTACAGAATTTTCTAAGATGCACATCTGCTCTATTCCAGCTGTTTCCTCACATGGCTTAATACCAAACAGGTCTCTCAGCTACTTGGAAACTTCCTGTTAAGAACAAATTATTCTGGTTGGTCACAGAGTTGGGCTCAAACATCATGTGTTTGCTTCCTTCAATAGGCATGAAAGGTTAAGCTCTTAGTGTTTCAGAGAGAGGCAAAAGGTTGGGGGTGGGGGCAGTGGGGGGATGCAGTTCAGACAGTTAAACCACCCTCAGGTCCAGATCTCACTGAGAAAAAGCATTTGCACATTTAGGTATTTAGGTAGGAGTATTTTAAGAGTCTCCAGCCCTAAAAATAAAATACATCTTCTTAGAGACAGACTCTTTCCTGCTTTGACACTAGTATAAAAACAATGGTAATGGTAATTTTAAATACCTGAAGTTTTTAGTTGTCACCACTTAGTTTCATTCTTCTCTTACCATTACATTGCTCCTTTCAGCTCTGAGGACAACTCTACCTCTTTACTCCTGTACCTTTGCCAAGAGGTGTCAAAACTGCTAAAAAAAAAAAAAAAAAAAGCTTGATTTTGATTAATATAGAGAAACAAGACTTTGCCTGACTGATAATAAAACTGATAAATGACATTTGAATTACTTGTAGCGGTAATTTATTACATAAAATATCTTTTATTTGACATGCGATTAGTTGCTGGAAGCATCACTCAATCTGACTAGTTTAAACATGCTCTAAAATGAACCCCAGTAAAAACCAGGGCTGTCTGCTGCTGGCATTATGAAATATACTAATCCTGGAGTGAGGGGGAAAAAAAAAATCTGACTTTAAATATTTAAATGATTAATTGGGTTTATATATATATATTTTTTACCTTTCTAACCCCCTTAATTACAAGCAAACTCAGGGGAGTTTCTGAACTAGGTGTGCAATCTGCATGCTTATCACTGAGGCATTGTCTGTGTCCCAGGAGGGATTTATGGCCTCTACTCATATGTGTTCCTGCTGATTGTATATCAAGATCCCAGTAGCTCGTTTCTTCTCATTTCTTGGCTTTTTAAGGGCATACTAGACCCAGAAAATGGGATTCCCTGGGCTCAGCTCCAGTGCTCACATCTCAGTGTCCTGGTGCTGCTACATACAATACAAACAAACACCACAAGTGTGGGCAGCTGTCAAGAGCAGAAACTTCTTTTCTCTCATGGTTCTGGAGCCTAAAATTCCAAATCAGGCTCTCTCTTGGTCATGTGGATTCTTTCCTTGTCAGTAACCTCAGGCTCTCCTTGGTTCTGAGGTATCTTCATATGGCGTCTGTTTTCCCCAGAATGGGCCCACGTGTCCTTATGTCTGTGTTGCTTTTTATATAACTCAGAAGTGATTAGGTTTAGGATCCACCCTACAGTGGCATAACAGAAAAGGCCTGAAGATCTGCTTCCATTAAAATGACAGCCAAGAAAACCCTATGGAGAAGACTGGACTACACAGACAGGTTGGACTCGATGGCAATTAACAACAATTCTACTGGTATTTTACAATCTTCAGCTTATTGATTACAGTATATTAGGTTGCATGATGAGAAGTGATTACATTACATCAGATCCCATCAATTGCACATAGTTTTAGAGGGATCACAATTCAGGCCAGGGATCACTTAACCACAGTTCAGGTCCGCATCACTTTCCTGAGTGCAGCCCAGAAGCCCAGGACTCACAGGCCTGTATCTCTGGACTTGCTGGCCTGCCCGCTTGGGGCAGCCGTATTGCTCGACTGCTCTTTGCTGAGTGTGGTTGTCCTTGAGATGTCAGTGCAAATGGTGGCCAAGAGAATGTAGAGACCTACCAGAATGGTGCAAGTTCAACTCATCAGTGTTTACTAAACACCCACTGTATGCTCAGTACATGACCCTGGTCCTTCAGAATAATATAGACTGTTTGAGAATGACAAGATAAACTCTTAAGAAAAGGATAATAAATGTAAGACATCATGATTTCATGCCAAAATTAATTATACAGATAAGAAATTCTTCCAGAATACAGAAAAGAGAAAAATTAATGTGGGCTTGCGAAGTCAGGGAAGGCTTTGTGAAAGTGGTAGGAGGCTGACACCAAGAGGGGAGCTTGGTGTCAGCTGCACTGGTGTGAGACTAAACCAGAGTTCTTAGGGCTTCAGAGGACACCTGAGGAAAAGTTGGGTTGTGATCCCAGAGGAGA